TAGGGAGAGGATCCAGGCCCACCCACTACTCCAGGTACCGACCCAGGGACTCTGTAGATGGCAGCCACATGCTTTGTCCCCTCCTACTTCCCAATACATTTCCCTGAACCGCTTCCCCCCTTCTTCACCCTTACCTCAGGGCTTCAGCAGGTCAGTCCTAGCAGCCACCCAGGAGCTCCCTCTCACTCCCCCGGTCCCTTCCAGCACTGCTCGGTCCAGGGTGCTAGCTTCCATCCATCTGCTAGGAACCCAGTTCTCCCTCCTTGAGCTCCAGGCAGCGACTGACCCTGCGGCTCTTCTTATATGGGCCTGCTGGGCCCCGATTGGCTGCTCCTCGCAGTCTCTCTCCTATTGGCTGTTTCCTATGCAGCCTTCCTTACGGCTCTAATAGCCCTTACATGCCAGTGTGGGGCAGACGCCCCATTACAATAGCAATTGCTTCCCCCCACAGTTGCCAGCCCTTGACATTTTTCTCAAGGGACAGTTTTTCAAACATGCAGAAGGGGAGCTGTTCAGTCTCCAGCCACCAGAGAAGTTGGGTAAATTCTGGTCAATTTTAAGGTATCTGCTTCTATGATGAGTAGTAGGAAAAGACAGGGGAAATCATCAGGATGTTGCCAGAATGTGACATACCCTGCTGGGGGCGTGACCCCACGCTTGCTTCAGAAATTTTCCCTCGTCCATCCCATCCCTGCCCTTAAGCCCCAGATCTGACTTCACCCATCCTTCCTTCCTTTCCAATTGTCTCGTCTCAGGAGCCGCAGCTGAGACATTCAGCCATCGGGGAGTGAGAGTGGGGGAGATGAGCCCTGGAATCTGTGCTCTTAAGCTGTAGGAGTGCACAGCAGTGCTGCAGCTGCCTCTTGCTTCCCCAAAGTCCTGGGAAACAGGCCAGGGCAGAAATTACCTAGAACCTGAGGCAGTCCCATGAGCGTGCAGTTTACCCTAGAGTTGACTGCATTTCACTGTTGGGTGAACTGATACTTATCTACCCAGAGAGCAGTTCTTAAAGAGCTGTGGGAACCTGCCGGGTGAACGGCAATCTGGAAATATATGCTGTCACTGGCGGAGTGGTCAGCCACAAAGCCTTGGCGGTGTGGAAGAATGGCAAGTTTGCTGTCTTTGTTGATCAGACACAAACGTGCCATAACCAACCTCCCATTCCACAGTTTAGCTGCAGGTGCCAAAGAGCTCTGGGTGAGATGGTGTGAGCCCGGAGCAGGAAGTGGCTTTTTCATAGAATTAACTTTGCTCAATAATAATCCAATTATTTAGCCGGTCCTGAATGTACTGTAAGAGGCAGCCTCCCGCCTGTTCCTTATTGAAATGCTGACATTCAGCCAGCTCGTAAAGGAGCAAGCAAGATCAGGACAAAGCCAGCTACTAGCAAAGTGGCAAACTCCGGGGTTCTCAAACTTCATTGCACCGTGACCTCCTTCTGACAACAAACATTATTGCACAACCCTAGGAATGGAGACCAAAGCCCAGGCCACCCTGGACAGGGAGCCAAAGCAAAGCCCAAGGGCTTTAGCCTGTAACCTGAGCCCTGCTACTTTGGCTTCAGCCCCAGGCAGTAGGGTTCGGGCTTCGGCTTCGTCCCCGGGTGGTGGGGCTCGGGCTTCTGCTTTGCCTCTGGCCGCAGCAAGCCTAACGCCAGCCCTGGCGACCCCATTAAAACAGGGTCGTGACCCACTTTGGGGTCCCAACCCACAGTTTGAGAACCTCTGAACTCATCTACCAGGAGAAAACATTCTATGGGAAAAACGAGAGAGAGAGAGAGAGAGAGGAGGAATGTTGGAGTGGAGAGGGGGCCGCTTGGTACCAGTGGGAGGTGGAGGAGCACAGATCAAAATGCAGAGGGAGTTCTGTGTCATATGCAAGACAATGGGGCAGAGCAAAAAGGGGGCTTCATGGTTCGTGCAGGGGTAGCCATGGCGGGGAAAAGAGGAGAGACATGACATGCAGGGAATACATCGGCATGGGGGGGCCATATGGCACATAGGGAGGGGGAAGTGCCGTGCAGAGGAGGGGATATGGCACACCTGTGGGTGGGTGGTGCATTTAAATGGGATGGGGGGATGGGGAGGGGGTGGGTTGGGGCACATCAGAGTAGAGAGAGGGGTATGTGACTGGTATTATAAGAAGGAAACTAATGTGGCTTTTCTAGCAAGTGGTAAAGTTTCTAAAAATGCCCAACTAACTTAGGGGCCTAATGAGACTTAGTCCCTTTTGAAAATGGAATTTAGGTTCCTAAGTCACTTAGGGCCTGGTTTTTAAAGGTATTTGGGCTGCTAACTCCAATTCATGAGTTAGGTG